GCATCAACACTGGCTGCCGAGGGACTGTGAGTACCTCTATTTCGGAAAACGAGAAGAGCGTCGAGTGCAGACCACACACCACAAGTGACGACGGCCAAGAAAAAAAAAACCTTTTTTCTTGGCCGTCGTCACTTGTGGTGTGTGGTCTGCACTCGACGCTCTTCTCGTATTCCGAAATAGAGAGTAATTGCGGATTCGGGATTGGTGGAACTGGTTCTTAGGATGAGCTCAGTTGAGGTTTAGTTGAGGCCAAAAATCTGCCAAGCCGTCTTTTTGGCTCATGCTCAATAAACCAAATTATAACTTAGGGCCTAATAAGCCTTTTTTGGACTTATTCGAAAATTGATCCCTTTTCAGCAACCAGACGGAATTGCAAATAACCCCCCGTGAAAGAGCAGTTCTGTGTGCACGGATATCGGCCACGTGCGTGATCGTCGTGGGATTTTGCTGCTGGTGGTTGGCGCGTGTGCTCCCCGAAGAGACGATCAGAAGGACCGCCAACCGCCGTCGCTGTGCCTTACTGCCGAGAAATCGTTGTTATTGTCGTGATATAAGCATTACTGGTGTTACTGCCCCTTCCCTGACCACCTACCCCCCCCCCCCGTTGTCCACCGTCCCATTAGTTTTACGTCGCGTTTTTCAAACCGTCTCTCGGTCTGTTGTTTTATTTTTGGAAAAGCTGCCCCATTCCCCGTATGTCCTATCACCACCTCTCCTACACAGCCCCGTGAACACTAATAAAAATGCTAATTTATGACGACTGTTACGTTCAGGGGCAGTTAACGACTGACAGCTATGTGTCGTGTACGTTTTATTATCAAGTACGGTATAATTCCGAGCAGATTCGAGAGTTTCAAGGGAAGTGGTAAAAAAATAAGAAGGGTTTTTCCTCTATTGTAGGACATAAAGAGGCAGAAATTGGGTTCAGTTACAACTGAAAGCGAAAAGAGCCTTCAGAAGAGACGCCAAACTGATCGAATTGAAAAGTAACAAAAATCTGCTAATGGAGACAATGAACCCGAAGGAAACAGAATTCTGTCAATTTCCACGAGTCGCGCCATGTAGGCGAGTTTTCGTTGGAATTGCCCAGGTGTTGGGATGGGCAAGCCTGTCAGACATGTGTGAGGTGGGGATTTTTTCGAAACCTCAGGGGAAAACTGCAGCACAGGGATTCCATCTGGGTGATTTCCATCCCCGTCAGCAATTTATTCGTACATCTTCGAAGGTTATTCACGTGTTTCAAACGTGAAAGTGCAGAATATTCGATTGAGCTGAGTTTCTTGGAGCGCACGAAAAATTTTGGACTTTGTAGATGGCGCTTAGGCCCCGGTCTATGAAGGAGCGCTAGAAGCAAAATGGTTATA